CCCCCCCCCCCCCCCCCCCCCCAACTGAGCAGGCATTTCTTTTGTGCATCACTTAATGTCATAGTTCCAAAAGCACTGTTATAGGAATTATTCCTGGATTAGCAACTAGAAGCCATGTTTATTCAGTCTGGGAGATGTTCGCTGTCATTCCAGTTTGGAGACAAGAATCCAAGCCTTCTGCTGCTAGAAGTGGTTTGTTTTTTTTGTTTTTTTTTGGTATTTCTTTCTGTCTTCTCCAGATGATCTGCCTCCCAAAGCTCGTGCTGGGATGGACCTGAAGGTACAGCCAGGAGAGGCAGTGATACTGAGAGGTGCAGAGAGCTCAGATGACCATGGGATTGTCAGTTATGATTGGAAACATCTCTCTGGGGACTCATCTGTTGTGCTGGAGGTAGGTAGTAGAGTGGAGCTGCTTACTCGGTGTCTATAGCAAATATGTTGGAAGTGCCCACTATTTTACCTGATCCTAGCCTCTTGTTCCAGCCACCATCTATTTCCACAAATTAGGTAAAATTTATCTCTCACCATTTTCTTCTGTTTATGCTCTTCTGTCTCCACTAGGTGGTGCTGTCATTGCTTAATGAGGTAACATTCCTTCTGTCCATCAGAAATGTGGCACAGGAAGCAAAGAAGGCAGAATGCTTCTAGACCAGGGCAGGCAAAGTCTGCCCCTTGGTCTGGTAGTGGACTCCATTTTCCAGCAGCCCCTGCCCACATGGCTGGGGTTGGTTTCCATGGAGACCCCAACCACACCTGTGTGGTGATACCGCAAGGCTGGGGTTGCCTTGGAGACTGGCTTCAGCTGCACTGGCAGGGTGCAGGTCAGGGGGCTGCTCCAGAAGAGTGCCCGGTACTGCAGCACAAGCATGTGTACAAATGCAAATAGGGTGGAGGGGCTGGATCTGGCCCATGGAGCCAGAGGGCTTTGTGCCTGCACATATAGAAGGCTGAGCAGTGAGGAGCTGGGCTAGGCAACTTCCACCCCGGCTGTGGCACAAGTACAGCTTCTAGCTAGGGCCCTGGCTGGGGAGTGGGGAGCTGGGAGAAGTAGTGGTGGCATGGGCACAACTTCTAGCTGGTTGGCCCTAGTGGGGGCTCTCCCTGAACCCACGTTGTGGATGTGCTGTGGAAGCCACTTGGCTTGTGTTGGACTACAGCTGGATTGTTCCAGTCTGCAACTTGTAAAGGTTATCAGTCACTGATCTTGTTCATATCCCTGTGGCCTGTCCATAGCTCTGCTTTTACTCTTATAGGGCTCCTGTCTGGCTATACCACTGTCTGTGCTAGATGTGTCATCTTGTCCTAATCTGGAAGTGCATAAATGGATGAGAAGGCTGCAGGTGCCTGCTGCCAGGGGATTGTGGGGTGTGTTGCAGAAGGTTTTCTTACCATTGCTGTGGTGCATAAGGAGAATCTGAGGCAGAATCCCTAAGTTACTTTCCCCAAACCATGCAATGTGTCAGAATAGCATGGAGCCCACGCCTCTAAGCTCCAGTCTGGTGGCACATCTTGGAGCATGAACTTAGTTTTCTTCCCTCTGTTAAAACAAAAAAAACCAAAACAGCACAAGAACTCTTTGGAAAGAAAAAAAATTGTAGCCTGTTTTTTTGTTTTTGTTTTAACTGCTGCATCATTGTGACTTCACTGGCAGCTAGCTAAGATTAGATGACCTCTCTGTAAGAGGAGGGGTTTGGATGCCAGTATTCTAGCCAGGTTCCAGCTCTGGCAGGCAGATTTTTAAAATCTGCCTGTTCTAAAAATTTTCCCTGTTTCAACTGGTTGCATTACCTTTTGCTTTCTATTCCAAGCTGTTATAAAATGTTTCTGTTCACTATTGCATTGTGGAACACAGGTGTGTGTCACTGGTGCCGTATACATATGTGGAGCCATATTCTGACTCTTGCTGCCAAAAGATGCTATGGGGCTGCAGTGCCCACATGATGGTGCCCTTGGGCAGGGCATATATGAACAAAATGCCTCAAAGCATTGGACCAACACAGTCCTTCACCATTTTCTTTGGAAGTATTAACATGCATTTCTTCAGCTCCTATAACTGTCACTGTGGGGTGTTGTGTGTCCAGGCAGCCCTTTAGGGGTCCAGTAGCACTGCTGGACTTGCTGACTATCCCAAAGCCTAGGATTGCAGGGACCACTAGAACTTATATTAGAAGTGCTGAAGGGCTGGACTTCCTGGTGCACTCTTCTTTTCCTAGCCATGCTGACCTTGGGCAGCCAGTCTGTCTTCTAACTTTGTAAAGCACTCTGGAGTCCTAGAGGTCCATCCTTCATTTGGGAGTTGTATCCAAGCTGCTCTCCTCCTGAGGCCACAGACAGAGGAGTTGTCATCTTGCCTGTGAATTAGATGTCTGCATCCAGCACTTTGGCTGAGAGATGCTAACTCCTAATCATGTTCTTCATGTTTGTATTCTCAGAAACAAGGGGATGATCAGGTGGAGGTCTCCAACCTGCAGACGGGGATTTATGTCTTCCAGCTCACTGTCACAGACACTGTTAACCAGCAGGACACTACCAACATCACCATTACAGTTCTGAATGCTGAGCAGACTGAAGGTGAGTCTGCCCAAGAGAGACTTAAACTTGGGCCTCATGGTGTTCCTGCTGGAGTCAGTTACTAATTGCATATGAAAGCAGCAAGGTGTATAACCGGCACTCTTTTTGTGAACTGCTGGATGGGAGTGGTGTGTGGTAGAGAAATGGGAGATGGGACTTGTGCATTGATATTCCTTTGGAAATTCAGCCTACTGTACCTGAATTTTGAGATGGCAGAGGGTCAACTGGTCAGAAGCATGATGATGAATGTCAGTATAAAGTCCTAAGTGGTCCTGGTTTTATAGGATGGTCACTGCAAAAGGCTTGTTTCCAGTAAACAAGACATTCAGGGTGGCCAAGTCATGGATTTGTGCCAAAAGCCAATCTATTGAGTAAGGGTTTTTCTCCTCCATACCAGGAGCCAAGTTAAATGGACTTCACTGAAGTAGAGATAAGGAGTATTCAAGAGGAGCCTATGCCAACATCTGCATCCTGCCCCAAGTCCAAGATATAATTTTTCCCCAAATTGCATGCTATGGGAAAGCTCCTGCCTCCTCCCAAGTGAGCCATCACTGCCATATCCCTCTCCCCTTTGTTACTAGGTTAGATGAATCAGTGTGATGTTAACTAATGCTTGATGCTGTCCTGGCAGCAAGCAGAAGCCAGTGATTCAGCCTGTCTTCTAAGATCTTTGCAAGGCCAACCATCTGTACTTTAGTTAAAGCAAAATATCTCATTCTTCATATGCTGATCCTTTTTATTGGCTTCTCTTTTTTTCCAGATTACTGCTTGGCTCCTAGTAAAGTGGGTTGGTGCCGGGGGTCCTTTCCCCGTTGGTTCTACAATCCAGAATCTCAGCGATGTGAGAAGTTCACTTTTGGGGGCTGCAAGCCCAACAAGAATAACTATGTGCGAGAGGAGGAGTGTAATCTTGCCTGCAAGAATGTTCAAGGTCAGTCTGTTTCTAGAGGCAGCCGTTAGCTCAGGGTGTTCTGATGGTTCTGTGGTCTGGAGCTCAGGTGGACTGGTCTTGTAGATCACCGGCTGGAAGCAGAAGTTTCTTCAGAGGGGTGTGGAGCTGGAAGCACCTATTGTAATTTGCTTTCCAGCTGCTTTTCTGTTGACAGACTATGTCAAACATGTACTCTATTGGTTGTCACACAGTTGGTATTCTGAGTGGCAAGAAGTCTTTTGTTAAGGGCCAGGCCATATTAAGAAATACTTTAATTCAGTTAATTGATTAGGCTCAGGGCATTATGTTCACCATATTTCTGTGGCCAGATTTTGCTTGCAAAATTCTGTTCATGCCACTTCTTAAATATAACCACATGGAGGAGTCAAATTCCCCTTTCTCTCATGGAACTCATTGTCCTTCCTGGCACTAGCACAACTGAGCTTTTGTTGAAAGCCACTTAGAGTAGGTTTGGATGAGGTGAATTCATCTGAACCTTTGCCAGGCTTCTGTGTTCCTACTGAGTCCAAATTGGAGACATAAGATGATTTGCAAAGGATTGGAAGGAACTTCAACTTCACCCTTACACCTGGTATAACTCCTCTGAAAAATGCAGCTTGGGATCCTGCTGATGAAAATTGACTTTTTTTTTTTCCCCCTAGGTAGGAACTGTTTTACTATAGAGCTATTTATTTGGGTCAGTATAAAACAGGTGAATTCACCAAAATAACATTGTGGTTTCTCTTCTGTCTCCTCTTCAGGGCCAGTTGGAAGACGGCAGCAGCCAGGTAAGCCTCTCGCATGTATTTCTAATCTGAGATGCACTCTCCCTCCCCCCAACCGGTCTCTTGCCCACCCTTGTGTTTTAAAATTAAGATCCAATTTCTGGTTTTCCTGGACACCAACCAGAGCCAAGCAAAGCCTTTTGGGAGTAACTTCTGTGCCAGACCTCTTGCTTCCAAGCCTCTAAAAAGGCAATGTGCCCTTTCCCTAGGAGAAGGAAAGGTCTTATTCTAAACTAATCTGCCCAAAGGGGGCCTGGAATCATCCTTTATGCCGGAAGAATATGAGTGCAAGTCAGGAAGGAGAGGATTTTCATACTGAACCCAAAACAAAAACTTTTTTTCTGATATAGTATGTGACGGGAACTGTCAGGCCTCACACTTCAAGTGTAGGGATAGCTGCTGCATCGATGGCTACCTAGAATGTGACGAAACTCAAGATTGTGCTGATGGATCAGATGAGGCAGACTGTGAACGATGTAAGTTCTTGGATATCTAGATCCTAAAGTTTGGTGCCTACATGGGTAAATCCTTTCTCTCCTTGGCTTTTTAAAAATTTCAAACTTCTGTAGAGGTTTATTATGGCTCTTTACACTGCCTCCTGTATTTTAATAGTAGGGGGGAGAAGGAGAGAGTCAGGAAGTGTTCAGAAAGATCTTTCTGTCTACATATCACTGTAGAGGAGGACCAGTTTCTTTCATATTTGAGCTGGGCAAGGTAAACTGTGTGTGCCATGAGCTGTTTCTCTGGTTTCTTCTGCAGATGCTCTTGAGTTCAATAACCTCCGAAAGATCAATGGTACAAGTGAACAAGGTGTGTATGCAACATATTGCTAAATACAAATGATTGTCTACTCTCTTTTGGCTCTTGCCAGTTTTACTAGTCAGACTAGGGCCAGAAGTGTTTCCTGATTGGGCTTTCTTGTGTGATTTATAAGGAGGCAGAACCAGTCTAAAATTTCTTAAATCAATTAAGTCATGCTTCATCTGTGTTCCTGTAATTATATCCATCTTCCATCCTCCTTCTCGTAAGAGTACTTTGCTGAATCCTCTTACACAAATTTTATGATTCCTATAACCTTTGTTCATTTTGTACTTGGTGCACATTCCTCTTCCCTGTGGTATTTGTATTTTTTGGTCTCTGGTTTGATCTATGGACAGGAGGTATAGATTGCAGGCATTCTTTTATTAAATAAACTTTGAATACTTGGCAGGTAGATGGTGCTGTGATGTTAGATGGAATAGAACCTGTGGTCTAACGTTAGATTCTCCCAGACATGCTGTCAGTTCAGATATCCTTGCCAAACTTTTTGAACCTTGCATTGTGTGCTCATTGTATCAAGATCAGTGGTTCTCAACCTTGTTAGACTTGAGACCATTCCCTCAGAAAATGCCAGCTCTTAGTTTTCACTCTATTTTTTGGCTACAGAAAAATAGAGTAGTTCTTCTACTGCAAAGAACTTAGAAGAACTACAGCAGGTCAGGATGTTTTAAACACTATGGATTCCTATTTGAAACCTAGGTTTTATGTTGTAAGTCACGTTTACATACCTAAAAGTACGGACAGTATCTGACACCCCACAACGCCCTTGAAAGCATCTCATAGATTCATAGATGCTAGGGTCAGAAGGGACCTCAACAGATCATAGAGTCTGACCCCCTGCCTAAGCAGGAAAGAGTGCTGGGGTCAGATGCCCCAAGCCAGATGCCTATCCAGTCTTCTGTTAAAGACCCAGGGCAGGAGACAGCACCACCTCTCTTGGAAGTCCATTCCAAATTTTGGCCACCCTGACTGTGAAGAAGTTTTTCCTGATATCTAGCCTAAATCTGCTCCGTCAGTTTGTCACCATTGTTTCTTGTTACCCCAAGAGGTGCCCTGGTGAACAGAGCATCTCTGATCCCTTGCTGCATCCCCCCCCCCTAATGAATTTGTAGGCAGCTACAAGATTGCCTCTTAGCCTTCTCTTGTGGAGCCTGAAGTGGTCCAGGTCCTTCAGTCTGTCCTCACAGGGCTTGTCCTGTAAGTCCCTAAACATACAAGTGGCCCTTCTC